AGCTTGCGTCTGGGTATGTCGCGAACCCAGGCGCGAGCTGGGTTCATTGCCAACCCAATCACATGAGCTGGGTTCATTGCGAATCCAGTCGCGAACCCAGTTGCGCAAGCTGGGTTCATCCTGGGTTCGCGATGAACCCAGGCGCCTGGGTTCATCACAAACCCGCGAGCTAGGTTCGCCTGAAGGTAAAAGGAAAAAAAGACAAAAAAAAAAAAAAGGCTGGAGGAAGTGGGGTGACGTGAAGTCCACATAAACATATTTTACGCGTTGGCATACCCACGTTAGCTGTTCTAGTTAAGTTAACATGCCACGTAAGCAAAAATTAACGGAAGGACCAAAAATGGGCCGGATTTGTGAACAATAAGGACCAAAAAGGGGATTTTTTTTGGTACAGGGACTAAAAAGAGGCTTTTCCTATAGTAGAGGGACCAAAAAAGGTATTTAACCTTCCCAAAATCTTGAGCAATGTCACCTCCTCTACTAATTTCAATGGCTGCTTAACCATGAAATCCAAGATCAATGACACAAAAAAAATCCTACATCCAGTACCCAAGCCAAGAATGCTGAAGCAAAAAAGAGCAAAAGAAAAAGAGAACCTAAAAAACCCATATTAGGCTAAGAAAACAAATGTAGAAATTTAGAGAAAAACAAAAGGAGAGGCACAGAAAAACCTCAAGAAACAAAATAATGATAATAATAATAATAATAAACCAATAAATCTGTACCAAATTTAAAGGACTCGAATTTCTTCTTATCAACCATTTCTTGATTTATACAGGAAAAAAAAAGGCAATAAAAAGGTGATCCTCAGGATTTGCGTGTTAAATACCGAGTAAGCAATGGTGAAGTACCTGAAGCCAAACCCAATCCATTGTCTTTCAGGTTCGCCATCATCTTTCAAGGCCACCATCATCCTTCAAGGTTGTTGATGAGTAGCATTTTATATGTTTTAATATATTATTTTAACTTTAATTTTATTATTATTTACATAGACAATATGTATTTTCAATAATTTTTATATAGTTTTCATTTTTTATGTACAAAAAGACTTGAATGGATAATAATATGAGTTTTTGGGATTAATTGAATTTTTTTGAAAGTTGAGGGATTAAATTGCAACAAGAGATGATTCTTTTTGGGATCTAAATGAATGAATTTTAAGTTATGAAATTAAAGTGCTCATCATATAAAAGATGGAGGATCCGATCTGCTAGTTTACCATAAGAAAATTACAAAAAAGGCTAAAAACCCGACATCGGTATAGTGTGGACACATATTTGGTGGTATCAGCACTCGCATTAAGCCTTGCTAAAACAGATTCGCAAAGGCACGTCCAGCGTTATGCTTAGTTTGACAATGCTCCTCCAGCATTTTTTGTAATTTATATGTTTAGTAAATTATTTATTTTTATTTTTTTTAGAAAGATATATAGAAATTATTTTAATCTAAAAATAATAAAATTTTTAAGTTTTTTTTT